AGAACAAGATCTAATGCTAGTTACAAGTGTGCACATACTACAATGTACTCAAATGAGGAATACTTGTTAAAAAAAAGAAAAAATCCTTAATTCCTCACTGCTGGATTGAAGTACTACTTTGATGTGTCACAAAGTTCATATTGTTTGTATATAAACCTACAACAGTCCTTCTCCAAGACTGGTACCTAACTTTAAATTACTGATGTACTTTAGGAGAAAAGGAAAGGAAGCATGCATTTGTTTTGTCCGTGAAACTTACATGTTACAACAATTTCAGTAGTGTTCATTAACAGCGTTATAGTTTTGGGGTGCCTAATTTGAAAGAGTTTTTGCCTGCTTTTAATAGAGACTGAAGACCTGTGTAAATACCCAAAAAACTCAAGAATACAAAATTAACAGACCCTTCACAAAGCTCTGTAGTTGTTTAGCTACATGGATTAACCGTAATGACTAAGACACACAGACATGGCAGAGTGTATGTGTATTTACTCATAAATATGCTTGAAGAGAAAGAGATTATAAGAAGCAAGAGTTATAGCATTAGATAAATAAATCTACCTTCTGGATCTGGCGTCATTAATAGTTCCACTTCTGAAGAAAGGCTAGTAAAAAAATCCTTCAGAAAAAACAAGGCATCCTAAAGTAAAGATATAAGATACAATCAGGCTCAAAGAATACAAATCACTGTAAGTCTCTGAAAAATACTATCCACAATCCTGCATTTTTTTATTGTTGCATTGAAAATGGGACACACTTTAGTAGCTATCTCAAAATCTCTCAGGTGTACAAGGGACCGTTTTAGTCATTTAGTTGAGTCCCTTAGTTTTATAAGCAACAACCTTACATCATTCTTCTCACAAAATAATAAAAAGTTAATTTCAAAACTACTTAGGTGTTTTTCCCTTCACTGCCCTATCGAAAGGCTGTTTCAAAACTTTAATCCTCTGAAGGTTAGAAACTTCTTCTAAATTTCCAGCCTAAAATTATTCATGGGCTGCTTATACCCATTTGCTCTTGTGCAAACATTTGTTTTTTTAGCTGCTACACTTTTATTCCCTTCTTGGTGTTAATTCCCGAGTCATTTATAGACAACAATCATATCCTCTTCTCAGCTTTTCTTGTGCTAGGCCTAGCAAACCAAGCTCATTTATTCACGTCAAGCATAAGCTCTCCATTCTCTTGGCCATCCTCAAAGCCCTTCTTTGCACCAGTTTCAGTTTGAATTAGTTATTTTTAAATATGGGTGTCCAGAACTGTATATAATATTCAGGATGAAGAATCATCTGTGTCACTGGTGTTATTAATAAACTGGTATAATTCCTTCTTTAATTCTACTGAAAATAGCTTATCTGATACGTCCTAGGATTGCATTTGCTTTTTTCAAGGGTGCAATACATTGTTTCCAGCTGCCAAGGTCCCAGCCTAAAGCAGAAAATCCTGAACTCATCCTCTGCTCCCTGTGCTGTGTGCTGCACTGCCCCACCCCTTAAGAGAGGGGAGAAAGGAGAAGAGAGGGGGATATCGGGAGTGCCTGGCTACTGTCAGAGTGATAAGGGAAGCAGCAGCCAAAATCTAACCTGCCAGTAGGACAGCTTTGCTCTAGTTCTACATTGTGTGGATAGTACATGAAAATACTACTGACCCCAGAGGGAAAATTTTTGAAAGGCACAGACAACAGTCAGATAACTTCCAGTGCTTTTCAGTGGGAGTCAGATATCTAACTGTTATGTATACCCTTGAAATTTTATTTTTCTATAGAAGGCAGTTTCTGAAACTCTTTTGCTCTGCCTCACCCATTTCTATCAAAACAATTAGTTATATTTTTGCAATGGAATGCCTGGGGATATCTTCCTGTTTGGAGAAGGGAAGAACCTCTGGCTTAAGTGTTTACATAGTACACAGTAGATGTTAATTAGCTATAATTTTCTGCTTAGAACTAATTTATTTCATGTTTTTCCAACACACACTGCCATTAATAAACTAAACATGTTAACACTGACGAAGTGCAAAAGCTTTGTAGCTCACACAGTCATACAATATCAAGTGCTTTAACTAACTGAATACTCTAGAATTCAGGGTTATTGGATTTTAATTCACGAGACTTTATCAATATGACAAGCCATCTATTTTAAAATTATTACAAACTTGCAAAATAGTGTCTCATTTCACAGACTAAATTTTTCACACGGTTCATTAAATGAACTGGTATCTTAAAGAGAATGGTCTTCTCTGTTGACAGGTATTTTTACGTAAAAAAATCTAGCCATTATGTTGGTTAGACTTTTTTTTAAAAGAGATTCTTCACATAAAATGGATCTATACGTGTACAATGAGATTATACGGAGCAGCTGAGATCCAAAGTTACATATAATTTACTGTTAACAGGTATTATGCCAGAAATTCCAGAAAATGTGCACTGGGTTATAAGTACAAAGATAAAACAATTCTAATTTCCTGAAAAGCTTTTAGAACTTGTACAGTTCAAAGGGCACAATGATAATTAACATAATCACTAGTGTTTTCTGCACCACCAACCTGGTCAATATTGAGGCGAAGTGGCATTAATGACACTCGTAAACAACATTCCTGTGGTGATCTGCCAGACTCTGGACGGACATGTAATGCTTTAACTGTTAACTGCAAAACAAGTGAGAGAGAGAAACTCAGCACACTTAAAACTATCGAAAACTTCAGCCCATCAGTCAATACAAAAATGTTTACACTGCATTCATACCCTGAAATGTCTACAACCCCTATCCTTCTGACCCAGATCCCATTTGCTAATTATATTATAAAGGGAATAATGGTCAAGTAATTTATCCTGGACTTTAACATGTCAGAAGATTCATAGGAAAGCTACAAATGTAAATTCTCCACATTCTCCATTGAATCATGTTCCTGCAACGGAACTTCAAATGTACACATACAAGGTAATGCATGCTTAAAAGTATGAACAGATAGAGGAGTTTAAATAATTTTGTGCATAATTATACACTTCTAATAATAGCAATGTCTGATAGATTATTAACGGAATGGATTTTGCATTCATTTCTCTATTGGCAGGACATTAAGATAATAGCCAGCACTGACAAAAGGCCTACATTCTTACAGTGTTTCATGAACTCACTCCCCCTGTTCTGCAACACCTAGAAGCTACTTAGACCATTCTCAGAATGAAAGTGTTTGATTATAATAATACCCAAAGGACAAAATTTCACAATCGTACCATATTGGAATGTGCTTTTCTGGGCATTTCCTTACTGCAGTAGAGATACAGAAATTTATTCATCTGTGATGTTGCCAAGCGATCTCTGATCTCCAGGTCTTGAACAATAAAAACCTGCCTGGACACCGGCTGCTCCAGTAGATTGGATTCACATTCTGGCCCACCTGGAGGGTACACCTCGTGTTGGAATTTCACCTTGTAACAGAAAGGAAGAAAGACATAGGCAGCTTGAGTGCAAGTAAACTTTCACAACAGGCTTGCTCCAGTGACTTGCATTCTCACGAAACTCACGCTCTTGCTTGCTCTCCCTAGCTAACAAATTTTCTTATTTTACATCACTTTCTTTTCTTTCACTCTAGCTCCTCATCCATACTGCTTACAGCTCTAACCCTTACCCCTCACATCTCAGCCAGTGTTCTTTCCTCCTCTCCCTGCACTCTAGCAGCCTCCCTTCCATATAGTCCATCTCTACAGCAGCCCCTGAGTAGCCCTTTTTTCCTACTTTGATTCATTTAACTCTCTTCCCTTCTATCTTGCAAACTCTAGCTATCTCCTTGCCTTCCAATTACTGCAGCAAAGGAAGTGGAATAGTAGCCTCTGAAAAGCATCTCTATCCAGGATACTTGCAATAACATTGTGGATATTAGCAATGCAGATATCAGTTAGGGATATAAACAGTTAAATGACAATTCCACTTATACCATTTACCATTTAGCAACCTCTGTCAGGAACAGCCCTGGCCCACTACATCTTCACTGTGCTCCTAGTGTTGTGTGGGTCCAAGGCCACTGGCAGAGAGCAAGCCACAGGCAGGAGGCAGCAGACATGGCTGAGCCACAAGGGGGGTGCTGCCCAGTTGTGGAGCTGTAGCTTCCCCTCACCCCCAATGGCAGGGGCTGGAGCTGCGGACAGAGCCGCAGCTACAGACCTATCTTGTGCCCAGATCCTGAACCCACTGGCATGGGGAGGTGGAAGGTGCTGGGCTCTCCAAAGGGGTCAGTCAGGGCCTTACTGCCACAGCAGCAGGACTTCCGGCCACGTGGTGGGTCTGCCTGCCCCTGCCTACAGCAACAGGGCACTGGTAGAGTAATGGGCTCCCTCTGCCCCCTGCTGCACTAGTACTGCCGTGGCCTGGACCTGGGAGGCTCCTCCATGCTGCCAGGCCAGGCTCTCCCCATCTCACCACAGAGGAAGCCGGGATCTGGTCCCAGTAGGGCAGCCTCTGCTGGGCACACTGCATCCTTCCCTCACCCAGCCATAGCACTGGGGCTGCACGTGGCCTGGCCCAGCCCTGTGGTGGGGCTGAGTGCACAGTTGGCTCAGTTCAAGGAGATACTGTGGCAGCTGGAGCAGGTGGCGCTGGGTCAGAAGGATCACTGCCAGCTCCTCACATGACGAACACAGCTCCAGAGCGTTCCTGAGGGGTGGTGGCAAAGCAGCTCCAGCCTGGGAGGCTGCTCTTGCAGCCCTAATGCCCCAGGATCCCTGCTGCGTTGCTGCCCATGAAGGATGCCCTGGGGTGCTCACCATGCAAGTAGGTGATACTTCCTTCTCCCCCTCCCTTCCCATGGCAGTGGAATATTTACATCCCTAAACAGAGTATCATTAACTTTCACAGCAAGTTACCTGCACTTGATCACAGTATCAAAAATGCAAGATGTTTCTGAGCAAACATCTTTGTTTTATGTTACTATCTTTGCATAAGCATAGTAATTATGGCACGTCCTTGCACCACCACTTTAACAAAAAAACAACAACAATGGCTCGTACTTGTAGGGAACAAATTGGAAAAGCTAAGGCAGTGACTGAACTCAGATTAGCAATGAGAAGGACAACAAAAAGTCCTTATTTAGGTACATAGGGAACAAGAGGAAAGCAAATGGGAGTGTGGGGCCACTGCTCAACAACTCAGGACAGCTGGTTACCAACACTAAGGAGAAAACTGAACTCCTGAATGACTACTTTGCCTCGGTATTTCACCAGCCCACAGGGAAAGTCATGCCAGATAGGATATAGAATAAGCAGGGCAGAAATGTTTGCCTTCCTACTGTAACCATAAGAACTGGTGTTTGATCAATAAAAGAAATTAGACATACATGTCAGCAGGACCGGATGAACTCCATCCGAGAGTGCTGAAGGAGCTGGCCAACATCATCGCGAAGCCCCTGGCAAAACTGTTCCAAAACTCATGGTGCTCTGGGGAAGTCCCTGAGGACTGGAAGAGGGCTAATGCTGTGCCCATCTTCAAGAAGGGGAGGAGGAAGGACCTGGGTAACTACAGGCCAATTAGCCTAACTTCTATCCCAGGGAAAAGCCTTGAAAAATTCATTAAGGAGTCTACGTGCAATAGGCTTGCAGAAGACAGGATTCTGAACGACAGCCAGCATGGCTTTGTCATGGCAGGTCTTGTCTTACCACTCTGATCTTTTACGATCAGGTAACTCACCACCTGGATAAGAGAGAAGTGGCGGATACTGTATACCTTGACTTTGAAAAGCCTTTGATCTGGTATCCCACAATGTTCTCATGAGAAAATTGGAAGATAGTGGGCTTAACTGTGAGACTGTTAGGTGGGTATGAAGCTGGCTGCAGGATAGAACCTAGAGAGTTCTAATGAACGGATCTGTCGTCCTGGCGTGAAGTGAGCAGTGGTGTCCTGCAGGGATCGGTGCTTGGTCCTGTATTTTTCAACATCTTTATAAATGATTTGGATGAGGGAGTGAAGAACTGTATGAGCACTCGTGGTGCTCTGGTGTGGTGCCAGAGGAAGAGGGCCAGCGTGGTTCCCATCTTCAAAAAGGGGAGGAAGGATGACCTGGGAAACTATAGGCCAGTTAGTCTTACCTCAATCCTGGGCAAAGTTTTTGAGAGAATTATTCTGGCACATGTCCACGAGGGGCCAGCAGGGGAGATTATGCTTAGGGGCAAACAACATGGGTTCATTAGAGGCAGGTCCTGTCAGACCAACCTGGTGGCCTTCTAGGAACACGTCACCAAATCCTGAGATGCAGGGGTAGCAGCGGACATAGTCTTTCTGGACTTTCGGAAGGCCTTCGACACTCTCTCTCACCCTATTCTCATTAAAAAACTGGGGGACTGCGGTGTCGACACCTACACAGTCAAACGGGTCGCTAACTGGTTGGAGGGTCGCACCCAGAGGGTGGTAGTGGATGGGTCATTTTCGACCTGGAGGGATGTGGGCAGTGGGGTTCTGCAGGGCTCGGTCCTCGGGCCCGCACCGTTCAACATCTTCATCAGTGACTTGGACGAGGGGGTAAAAAGCACCCTGTTCAAATTTGCTGATGACACTAAGATGTGGGGGAATGTGGCACCAAGTTATGGGGAAGTGTGGTCACACTTGAAGATACATTACAGATGCAGGCAGATCTAGACAGGCTAGCAAGCTGAGCATGTCAGAACCAAATGAAGTTCAACATTGAGAAATGTCAAGTGCTCCATCTGGGGATGAACGATCCCCTACGCAACTACAGGCTTGGCAATGCCAATCTGACCAGCTCTACAAATGAAAGAGACCTGGAGGTAATAACAGACCACAGCATGAATATGAGCCAGCAATGCGACTGCTGCTAGCAGGACAAATAATACTCTGGCACGCATCAATCGATGCATCTCCAACAAGACCAAGGAGGTGATTCTTCCAGGTGAGCTGGCACTGGCAAGTCCCCAACTGAAGTACTGCAACCAGTTCTGGGTGCTGCACTTTAACAAGGACATTTTAAAACTTGAGAGTCCAGAGAAGGGCCAGTCGTATGATTAGAGGCATGCATGGCAAGCCATACAAGGAAAGGCTAAGGGACCTGGGACTCTTCAGCCTGAAAGTGAGAAGGTTGAGAGGGGACTTGGCAGCAGCTTACCGCTACGTCAGGGGAGTACATCAGGGGCTTGGGGAACAACTGTTCACCAGGGTGCCCTTGGGGAAAACCAGAAGTAATGGCCACAAACTCCTGGAAGACTGTTTCAGGCTCAATATTAGGAAAAACTTCTTCACAGTTAGGGTGTCCAGACTGTGGAATAAGCTCCCTCCAGAGGTGATGCAATTGCCTACCCTGGAAATCTTGAAGAGGAGACTGGACAGTCATCTTGCTGGGGTCACCTAACCCCAGCTGTCATTTTTCCTGC